ATGTATATCAAGTGTAACAAGTGATGCCTACTGTGACCTTTTACTCAGCACAGACTACATACTCTGCTCTAAGAACTTGACATACATTCTCAATCTCCCAACAGGGGGGAAGGTAAGGTAGAAAATATGTACATATAGGAATTTTTTTTATGTATATCAAGTGTAACAAATGATGCCTACTGTGACCTTTTACTCAGCACAGACTACATACTCTGCTCTAAGAACTTGACATACATTCTCAATCTCCCAACAGGGGAGACTATTCTTCTCATTTTTTTCTTTAGGTATTTGAAGCTAGCAAAAGAGTTTATCATCATCTTTTATGCCCTAGACCATCTCAATAGAGATTTGTCACCATCCCCAAGGAAAATAGCATCCAACTTACCCAAGTGTCTGAAGTACACAACGTGGGTGTCTCAAGCCCTTGAGAAGCTGCATAATTCCTTTATCACCCAACTTATTTTTAAGCAGATTGAGTTTTTTCAGTGTTTTGCTGCTGATTAGGACAGAGGTGAGAGATTTACAGCAGGCACTGGTTAACCCACACTCTTCTAGCCTGTAACAAGGAGGTGCCCAGTGAGGTAGGATCCAATCTTATGGCAGGCAGAACAGAACAAGACATTTACCAAATGCCTCTCTCACAAGTTCTAGACAAAAGAATTCATGGTGCAATAGAGCAGCACTTCAAACACAGGCCATTATGTCTGAATTTTCATTTCCCAACACACTCCCTTTTGCACCTACCCCTTCTTCAGCTTTTCTGAGCTTCAGACAGGAAACTTTCCCCACATGGTACCTACCCAATATTTTCTAACTTGCAGTTTTTATGTTTCAAAGCATTACATAGCAACTCCATTCCTTCATCCTGTATATTATTGCTCCCAAGCTCCAGGCTCCTCAGGTTTGGGTTATTAATAATAGCTGAGGCAATATCCCCACAGACATCACTGGAAAAGAAACAACCAGACAGCCTGCAAAAAGATAAACACAGGCTAGAGTCATGACTGCCTATCTCAAAAGTTTTATATCACGAAGTGCTAAGTGTTCTTAGATCTGTCTTGACATTCATAAAGAAGGGACTCATTAAGGGACAAGAGCAGTGTTAACATCTATAGAACACTTATGACATACCAGGCATTATTCAAAGCTCTTCATGCCTATTAACTGGCACAAAGATCATAAGGCTCTTGTCCTGATTTTACAAACAAGGAACCTCAGTCCAGAACATTTTAAGCATTTTTGTCTGAGGACATAGTTAACTGAAAGTCACATTTCTAAACCATACGGGTAAGTTTTCATGATACTAAGCTTGAGTTCTGAAGAAGTATTTTAGGCAAGCTCTTCTGACATTTGTTTTCCTACCTTCCAGTTCTCGTGTCAAAAACCAACATTATTGATTCCAGAGGCAAGATAGCAAAATAGAAAGCTCCGGTGATCTCCCCAGAGCTACATCAATTTTGGACATCAATGCAGGGAAGAACCTCCACAAGAGCTAAGGAAACCAGGAAAGAGATCACAGACCCTGGTTTTAGCATTATAATAAAAAAGATGCATTGAGGAGGGTGGAAAGGACAAAATAGCATTGCTGGCTTCAATCCTCCCATAACCCTAAGCAGCCCAAAGAGAGACAATACTCAGGGGAAGGAGAGGGAAATGAGTGCAGGACCTGGAAGGGCCCCAGTCCCAGCAGCCACACCACACAACACCAGCCACCATTCTGGGGCAGGCCCACATGGAGGATGTGGACTCGCTTCAGCACAGGTGGAAACCTGTAGCTCTGATGTGATGAACTAGGATCTCAACCATATCACTGCCAGCTGACTGCAGTGGCTTCAAGCTAGAAATAAAGCTCAAAGATAGCCAGGCCATATGAGCGTGGGCCTTGTGCATCCCTTTCCCTGGTGCTGGTCCCAACAAGAATCAACATTAAGGAGTCACATGTGGCTGCAGCAACCCTCCCATCCCCCCTTCCTCAACACCAGATAGCAAAAAAGGAGAGAGACATTGTCCTCTTGGGGAAAATAGAGGAAAGTAAATGCTAGAAGCTGCCTTGGAGCCAAGGGCAAGGACCACCATGGTGAGGCCCATATCTAGGCAGAGTGCAGTAGCACCTAACCCCAGGCCCCAAACTGTGGATGGAACATCTGGACATACCCCAGCCACAGGTGGAAACCTATAGACCAGAACTACCATCTTTAGGACCTTCTTCAGTACATCCAGACCTAAACAACAGTGGACCTGTGGAAAACCTGGGTGTAGACTGACATCTAATGTTGAAAAGTGACAACACACCAACTGCAGATGGAACAAACCCAGGCTTAGGAGAGTGATCTACCACTGAAAGAGGAGCAGTTAACTCAGGTTCAAAGTACACAGCACATCTGCTTAAAAGCTTCAGAAAGAGAGGCACAAACAAAGCTAGACAGCAAAGACTAGAATACTTAATACTTCAATACACAGACATTGTCACATGGCCACAAACATCAAGAACACTCAGTGAACCATGATGTCATCAAATGGCCAACACACCAAAGATTGACCCTAAAGAGATGACAATGTGTGACCTCCCAGACAGAGAATTCAAAATAGCTGTTCTAAGGAAAAAACAAGCTTCAAAAGAACACAGAGAAGCAATTTAGTAATTTATATATAAAAAAAAGGAGATAGAAATTTTTAAAAAATCAAACAAATTTTAGAGCTAAAATATTCACTAAACCAAATTAGAAATGTAAATGAGGTCACTAATTTATATATAAAAAAAAGGAGATAGAAATTTTTAAAAAATCAAACAAATTTTAGAGCTATAATATTCACTAAACCAAATTAGAAATGTAAATGAGGTCATGAAGAGCAGAACTGATCAAGCAGAAGAAAGAATTAGCAAGTTTGAAGACAGGCTATTTGAAAATACAGAGGTGGAGTGAAAAAAAGAATGAAAAATGAACAAAGTCAACAGAAATTTCTGAACAGATTTGAAAGACTGGAGTCTTTGGGATCATAGAAGTTCTGAAAAATTGAAAAGGTGTAAAAGACTTATTCAAAGAGAAAATAACAGAAAATGTCCCAAATCCAGAGAAAGATACAAATATCCAGGTACAATAAGGTCAAAGGTCACTCGTCAGATGCAACCCAAATAAGTCTTCACAAGACATATTGTAATCAAGCTCACAAAAGTCAAAGACAAAGAGAAGATCCCAAAAGCAGCCAGGTAAAAAAGCAAGTAACACAAAAGGGAGTCCCAATTTGCCTGTCAGCAGACTTCACAGCAGACACTTTACAGGTCAAGAGGGAAAGAGATGATATATTCAAAGTGATGAAGATAAAATGTTGCCAACCAAGAACATTATACCCAGCAAAACTTTCCTTCAGAAACAAAGGAGAGAAGAAAACTTTCCCAGACAAACCAAAGCTGAGAGAATTTGTCACCACCAAGACCTGCCCCAGAAGAAATGCTAAATAAGTTCTTTAAACAGAATGAAAGAGGCATTAAAGTGCAACAAGAGAGAACATCTGAAAATATAAAACTCACTGGTAAAAGTACGTAAACTAATTCAGTATATTCAAATCCTGCAAACAAAGCACAAACCCGTTATATATCTAGCAGGAATACTAAGGGATAATTAGTAAAAATAATAAGAACTACATTAATTTATCAAGAGATAGGCAACATAAAAAGAGCAAAGTGGAACACCGAAATATTAATGGGGAGATAGAGATAAAGTGAAAAGTTTTCTTTAAAATATTTTTATTATTTATTTCTTTACTTTTTATTTCATTTTCCATCTTCACAAAGTTAAGTTTCTACTAGCCTAAAATTAAGTTGTTATAACCACAAGATATTTTTTCTAAGCCTTATGATAACCACGAAGCCAAAACCTTTGTGATATTCACCAAAAATAAAAAGCAAGGCTTCAAAACATACTAATAGAGATAATTTCCAAATCACTAAAGACAGAGAGAAAAGAAAACTAAACAACAACATCAAACTAGAAAATGAATACCGAATGGCAGGAGTAGTTAGACCTTACTTATGAATAATTACCTTAAATGTAAATGGATTAAATTCTCCAGTTGAAACACACGGAGTGTCTGAATGGTTAAAACAAACAAACAAACAAACAAGACCCAACCTTGTGCTCCTTAGAAGAAACTCACTTCACCTTTAAGGACATGCACAGACTGAAAGTGGAAGGATAGAAAAAAATATTCCATGCAAATTGAAACCAATAGACAGCAGGAGTAGCTATGCTTATATCAGATAAAATAGACTTTAAATCAAAAGCTGTAAAAAAGAGACAAAGGATATATATAACGATAAAGGGGTCAATCTGCAAAAAGGATATAAGAACTATAAATTTATATGCACCGAACAGTGGCACACTTAAATATATAAGTCAAATATTAATAAGCCTAAAGGGAGAGAGACAAACAAAAGGAAGGACCAAAGTCGTGTGATCATATCAATAGATACAGAAAAAGCTTTCAGTAAAATTTAACATCTCTTCATGACAAAAACTCAACAAATTAGGCATAGAAGGAAAATACATAAAAAATATAGCAAATCCACAACTGACATCATTTTGAACAGGGAAAACCTGGAAGCTTTCTAAGCTCTTGAACAGGACAAGGATGCCCACTCTCACCACCTTGATTCAACATAGCACGGAAAGTCTCTGCCAGAACAATCATGCAAGAGAAATAAGTAAAGGACATTCAAACTGGAAAGGAGAAAGTTAAATTGTTCCTGTTTTCAGATGACATGATCTTACATATAGAAAACTCCAAAGACTCCACAAAAAATAAATAAATTAGTTTAGTAAAGGTGTAGGATATAAACACATACAAAAATCAGTAGCATTTTTATACACTAATAGCAAATTATCAGAAAAAGAAATAAAGAAATCTCTTTTACAATACTTACAAAAATAATACTTGGAATAAATTTAGCCAAAGAAATGAATGATATCTACAATAAAAACCAAAAAACCTTAATGAAACAAATTGAAGAAGACAAAATAATAGAAAAATATCCTGTGTTCATAAATTGGAAGAATTAATATTGTTAAAATGTCCATATCACCCAAAGTGATCTACAGACTCAGTGCAATTGTTATCAAAATACCAATGACATTCTTCACAGAAAATAGAAAAAAAGAATCCTAAAATTCATATGGAACCACAAAAGATACTGAATTGCCCCAACAATTCAGTCTTGAGGAAAAAGACTAAAGCTAGAGGAATCACATTACTTGATTTCTTAAACTAAAAACCATAAAAAGAGAAAAATATACTACGACTTTAAGATGGCGACGGGTCTGGAGCGGCCGTGACAGGAGACAGCGCGGTCCTGTGAGCCGTGCGCTGTGATACCAGAGTATTGATTGCATTTCCAAGAGCAACAAAAGG